CCCCGCGGGGGTTTTAACGGGGTTCCCACTTCCTGACTTGTCCTCCCTGACGCCCCTTCTCTCCTCTCCTGCCGCTCCGCAGTTTCCCATTTCTTCCAGAAGAGCCATTGTCTCCAGTGTTCTCGGCTTTGGGACGTTTCATCCTCTGGCTCCTGGGCGATTTCTTTCCAATTAGGCAGAGTTGACCGCGCGCAGGTGTCATGGAAAGCGCCCAGAAATGTTGAGTTTCTCGTAATTGTGGAGAGCAAATTATCTCTGCTTTCATCTTAGGACCGATGAGAAGGTGGTGTCTGTGCAGCATGTGTTTCTGAATGGTGCAGTTGATAAAAACGGGGGTGCGGTTGATAAGGGGGTACCGAGAACACCGCTTCCCTTATCTGTGTGCCTTCAGAGGAAGGGGGGGTGCCAGCGCCGGGAGACGTTATTGGAAGGCTTCCTGTTGTTTGGGGAGGAAAGCATTAGGTTTATAATCTTTTGAATGAGAGCATAACTTGTTTCTTTGCTGCAGTTCCTGTTTTGACATTTGTACCCGAAGATCTCGCCACTTGCCATAAGCTTGTATACAGTGTGTTTGCACGGATGGATGAAAGTTAGCCGAGTGCGTGAGCTGTTAGCAGCAGACACATTTTATTATTTCTGGGTGATATATATTCAACATCAGTTTAGTAAACATGACTGACTTGGGCAGTGTCCCTTGGGTAAGACAGCCACTTGGAGCCAGTGCCGAAGACCTAGGACAAGTAGTGTCTCAGTATTGCTCTGTGTTCAGTCATGCCCAGAAACTATCAAATAATGATGTTTATGTGTGAATGTGTTAGAAATTGTGAAGGAAGCTAGGTTATGAAATGGAAAAGGATTCAGGGAAGGAAGCATTTTGCAGGTAATTCAACTTTTGAGGGATTACTGTATGCCTGAGACTTGGGATAAAAAGATAAGTGGGAAGTTATTGTTGGGTGACAGACTTGGAGATAGTTACTATTTAGCTGGCTAAGGTGTGCTGAGATGCAGTGGGAGCACAAAGATGGTGTTAGGGGGTTGAATCATGTTTCTCAAATAGATATGTTCTAACTCCCCACAACCTGTTGATGTGACATCATCTGGAAATAGGGTCTTTGCAGATGCAGTCAAGTTAAGATAATACTGGATTAGATTGGGCCCTAACCCAATGACTGGTGTTCTTACAAGAACAGGGAAATTTGGACATGGAGACATACAGGTATACCATATGGAGACACCGTATGAAGGTGGAAGCAGCAAGTAGAGTGGGGCAGCTGCAAGCCAAGGAGCACCAAAGATTGCCTGCAACCACCAGAAGTTCAGAAGAGGCAGAGAAGGGTTCTTTCCTTAGAACGTTCAGAGAGAGCATGGCCTTGCCCACACCGTGAAGCCTCCAGAACTATGAGAAAATAAATTCCTATTGTTCTAAGCCACCCAGTTGGGACATTGTTAATAGCAGCTGGAGTAACTAATACAGGTGGGATCCCTTAACCCTGCTCCAGGGACGAGGAGAACCATTTCTACAGAAGAGGCAGCCCTTGAATTAAAGCTAAAAGGGTCAATAAGGCTTCACCCGGCAAAGGATGGGGTGCAGACAGAGTTTATTCCAAGTGGAGAGAACAGCATGTGACATAGGGCAGGGGGCATGAAAGAGCACACCTGTTCTTTCCAGGAGCTTAGTGGGAGAGTGGTAAGGTCAGTCAGGGGTCAGACCACGTTGAGCCTCAAGTGCCAGAATAATTTGTAGGCTGTGAAAGCAACTGTGAAGGGGTGACACCAACTTTATGTATTGGAGAGATCACTGTCTGCTGTGTGGAGGATGGACTGGAAGAGATGACTAGAGGCAGATACGAGATGACAAGGACCTGTGCTAGCGCAGGAGCAGAGGCTTCGAGAGAAGAGGGCTGCTATAAACTGGGTGGCTTAAACAAAACTTCATTTGTTAGTTCTGGAGATTGTGAGGTCCAAAATCAAGGTGCCAGCAGATTTGATGTCTGTTGAGGGCCTGCATCTGGTTTATTTACAGCCATCATCTTGCTGTATCCTCATGTGGTGGAAGAGGTGAGGGAGCTCTCTGGAGTCTCTTATAAGGGCACTAATCCCATTCATGAGGTTTAATGCCCTCATGGCCTACTCACTTCCCAAAGCCTCACCTCCCAACACTGTCACGCTAGGCATTAGGATTTAACATGAATTTTGAGGGGTCGGGGTGGGGATAAAGTACAAGCTTTCAGCCTGTAGCAGTGAGGTCTGGGAGATTGAGTCCCCTTGACTTGCTGTTTTTCTAGAGGGCAGAGTGCAATAATGGTGTTGGTATTTCAAGATAGACCCTTCAAAGGGAGAGTGTGTGTTTGGGAGAAGGGGGTGGGGATGTTTCAGTTTTTCACATGTTGAATTTGAGGTCCTTGCTGGCTACTCAGGTGGAGAAGTCAAGATTAGAGTTGGAGGTGCAGCTTTTGTGTGGCTAGGCCCTTGTGGTGCCAGGGAGCTTTGGGTTGAATGCAACATCTCAGCAAGAGTATAGAGTGAAGGGAGATGAAGTTGGAATCCTGGTCAGCTCCAACTTGCAGAGATGTAGAGGATACAATTCCTGAAGAAGAAAAAAAAAGACTAGAAAGAATCAACCAGAGACACACAGTTGTGAATTTTGAGAGATGAGTGTCACAGACCAGAAAGAAGTGTGTGGCTCCTGGCCTTGAAAGCCATCCTGGAGGAGGGAGCAGTACAGATGGTCAGGCCCGGGGGGGAACAAAGCCAGCTAGGAAGAGATTGTCTGTAATGAAACAATACATGAAAACTTACTTTTGTACATTTTTCTTTAAAAGTGACATCTACTAAATGGAAAAATATATAAAATTAACTGTCTTTCCTTGTTCCCTAGTACCTGCATACTTCCGGATGTATTTTAAAGACACTTGCATCTTCCTATAGAACATTACCTCCAAATCTCTTAATGTAACAGGAAGCAATGAGAATGCTAATTAGTTTAATCAGTGACTAATTTTGAGTGTTATGTATTTTTTTGGAAGGAAATTTGGTTAATATAGTGTCCTATGCTTCTGATTTATACCTTTATCAAAGAACTTTGCTAAAATGAGCAGATACCTACATCAATCAACATTTTCTTGCTGAGTTCCTCCTTTTGCCAAGCACTTTACATAGATTATCTCATTTAATTACCATACGCTGCCTAATAAGGTGGTGCCATTAGGACTATTTTACAGGTGAGAAATCAGATTTAAAGAGGTTCGACTTCTACCCAAGGTCACATAACCAGTTGGTGGCAGAGAAGATTTGAACCCATGTTGGTGACTCATAGCTCAAATTTTTTAACAAGTCAGCAGCATAAGGACACAGATATGTTCCTTTCCCCTCAGAGATTAGTGTCCTACAGATGCCAGAAATAAATATTTTATTCAGTAGTTGAGAATCATTTTCTGTGAAGACATGAAGGCAGTCTGCAAACACTTAAGGTACTAAGGTTTGGGAGGCAAAAATGATCTAAGTATATATATTACAGAGAAGCAGTCTTGTATATAATTTAAGGAAAGAAGGTTTTCAACATTTAGAAACTATCGGAATGAAATGACTTGCCTCAGGTGGTAGTGAGTTTCATTTCACTGGAGTTATACAGATTGGCTGGCTGACCTCTTCTGACAAATATAGAGGGAATTCATACATTAGATAGAGGTTGGGTACTGGAAATTCTTGAGAGTTTTCTCCATTAATAATTTAAAAGTGGTGGACATAGGTAGGCAATGATATTGTAGTCAGATGTAACATCTGACTACCTCTATAACTAATGAAATAAGTCAGTTGCTACATTTACTTAAATTTGGGACCTTTTACTTTTTTATTTAAGCTTTTTAATTGAGATATAATTCACATACCACAAAATCAACTTTTTTTAAATGGTAAATTCTGTGGGTTTTAGTGTATCCACAAGGTGTACAACCAACCCTACTATATAATTCCAAAACATTTCATCACCCCCAAGAGAAACTCTACACCCATTAGTAGTCACTCCCTGTTCCTCCCCTCCTCCCCAGGCCCTGGTAACCACTGATCTGGAACCTATAATTCTTGGTTTTTTTCACAGCTCTTGTGTTATTATCCTTCAGTGGGGCTGTTGGACTGACTTTTCTTATGCTGGGATGTGCCTTAGAGGATTATGGGTAAGTTATTTCAAAAAAACTGTTCTTTTTGTGTCTGTCACTATTGTGTGTGTGTGTGTGGTGAGTGTTAGGGAATTTGGTCAGTGTAACACCAACCTCTAACCAGTGAGTTAGTGAAGCCCAAATTATGAACCCAGTCCTGTCATAGGTCAGCTGTACTTGTGCAGAGAAAAGCTCTTTTAAAAATTTATATATTCACCTGGCCGGCGTGGCTCAGCGGTTGAGCATCGACCTATGATCCAGAAGATCGCAGTTCGATTCCCCATCAGGGCACATGCTTGGGTTGCAGGCTCGGTCCCCAGCTGGGGACGTGCAGAAGGCAGCCGATCAATGACTTTCTCATCATTGATGTTTCTCTCTCTCTCTTCCTCTCTCTCTCTGAAATCAATAAAAATATTTTTTAAAACGTTTTGGTATATTAATTTAATAAGCATTTATTGAATAACTGCTCTGGATCAACTGGGGATACAAGAATGAAGAGACATATTCCTGTCCTCAAGGAATATGAGAGAGAGGTAAACAATCTCGTTAGTAAGAAGACAGCTGCAGTGAAGATATGTGAAAAGTATAGTGAGAGCTTCAAGAAAGTACATCAGAGTGTCAGAGTTTCCCTGGGAGAGTCAGGGAGGGCTTCATAGAAGCTGTCTTTAAGATCAGACTTGGTGGATAAATTAGAGTTTATCAGGCTGATTCAGGGGAGGGTATTTCAGGCAGAGGGAACATTCAACAAATTTCTTTATTCACAGCTCTTGGTTGAGAGCTTACTGTTTGCCAGATGCTGTTATGGGAACTGGGGATTAAGAAATAAGAAAAGAGCCCTGCTCTCTTGGAGTCTATTTCAGTGGGGGAGACAGACAATAACAGATTTCAAAATGTATATGCTATCAGAAGTGTTAGGAAGAGCGAAGGGTAAAGGGCATAGGGGCTCAGGGGATGGTGGTCATCGTGTTGAAATGGTAGACCACTGGGGATGGGGCAATCTGATAACCATGAGATGTGGCGGGGGAGGGAGGCTGAGTGTTTAAGGAACAGAAAGAAGGCTGGTGTGGCTACAGATTAAGTAAATGTAGGGAGGATGGCACAAAATGAATAAAATTAGTTGACCAGATTATGTAAGACTTTGTAGGTCAGGGCAAGGAATCTGGGTTTTATTCTAAGCCATTGAAAGCTTTCTAACAATGCAAGCACTCAAAAAATCTTTATTAGCATATGCAAGGCACTGTACTATGTTCTATAGGGAAAGCAAAGATGTCTAAGTTAAGCTGCTGTTCTTAAAGAAATTACAGCTCAGTAATAACAAAACAAAGATTCTAGATTAAAATTGTGCAATTTCTTAGCACAATATTAGTTATCTATAATTAATGACTAGTAATTTTTAATTATTACATCTTATCTGTTCCTGATAGGAATCATCTTAAGTGCTAACATTGACAATTGAATAAATAATATGGGGGCCTAGACATTTAAAATAATATTAAAATAATAGTAACTTTGAAACAGTAAAATGTCTTAATTTTAACTTTTCTTTTTGCATTTCTTCTCGGTCCAACCAACAGTGTTTACTGGCCCTTGTTCGTCCTGATATTTCACGCCATCTCTCCCATTCCCTATTTCATTGCCAAAAGAGCAACATATGACTCTGATGCAACAAGCAGTGCCTGTCGGGAACTGGCATATTTTTTCACTACTGGAATTGTTGTTTCTGCCTTTGGATTTCCTGTTATTCTTGCTCGTGTGGCTGTGGTGAGTTTTGTTCTGTATTGTTTTGCCCGGTTGTCACTGAGTTTCCTTCAAAGGCCTGTTTCTGGAACCACAATTTTATTTTCGTTGCTTAGACTTAAAATTCAAAGCCAGGCTTATTTTTAGTTAATCTATTCCACGTTTTAGATCTACCTATCAATACCTTGGCCATGTTTTCAGAATGCTTTCTTAGTTTTTCTTACAACTTTTAACTAGACCAAGTGATTTCTTGCTTTTTCTACTTCAAGGTATTTTCTGGAATTGTGCATAAGTCCTTGCCTTTTATCTTAGGGCAATCTACAAAAACTACAATAGCAATACTTTTCTAGTTTCAAAATGAACATCTAACTGAGTCTCAATCACCCAGTTTCAATGTGTGTGGAGCTGGGGTTTCCCCCAAACCTTCAAAGAGCAATTTTTCAACACCAACTGGGTGCCCAGCAATTCAATTCAATTCTGACACTACCCAGAGATAGCATCATATCCCACATGTTAAGGATTTAGTCCCATAAGACTGCCCTCTGTTTCAGTTGTCAATAAAAAGTCTAGGTTGGCACTTGTCCTTCTGACTGACTGGCTTTAGATCAGAGGTCCCCACAGCCCTCATCTTGGATATGACTGATTTGTTCATAAAACTCAGGAACCCCATTTACGCACTGTGTTACTAGTTTATTATAAAAGGAACAAACAGCTCAATGGGAGAGATGCATAGGGGAGCTTCCATGTCCTCCTGAAGGCATCACTCTGCCCTAGTTACCAAATTGCCAACCCTGAAGCTGTCCCAGTCCCTTCATTTTGGGGTTTTATGGAGGCTTCATTACATAGGCATGATCAATCAAATCATTGGCCATTAGTTATTGATTCAGTCTTCAGCCCCTCTCCCTTCCCCAAAGGTCAGGGAAGGGTGGGACTAAAAGTTTTGACCCTCTAAGCACATGGTTGGCCTCTCTGGCAACCAGCCCCCATCCTTAGGTGCTTTACAAAAGTCACTTTATTAACATAAAAATCACCTTTATCACCATTATCACTTAGGAAATTCCAAGTGTTTTAAGAGTTCTGTGCCAGAAAGGAGAGGAAGATCAAATATATATTATTATATTCATAGTATCACATCATATCAATTTCTTCACCTTCAATAGGACCATGTACACAATTCTCAAGTCAATGCAGTAGGCATATGTTAAGGGGCAACTGTATAGCTAGTAGAAAATACAAAGAAAAAAACATTGTGGGTATATTTATTCCATTTTTTGACATTAACTCTCTTTCATACTCTGATTTGAGTCCTCCAATTACATACTGTTACGATTCCATGAAATTTATTGGGGCATTAAATGTTAGATATGTACAAGTCTTACTTATTCATTTAGTAAATATTTCTGTAACACCTGCTGTTTGTAAGATACCAGGAATAAGAGCTAGATGCTGTGTTCCCAAAGAGCACAGAAACTAGCCTGATGGGTAAGCGTATAATATACTGCGTGATAATTAAAACAGTATCAGAATGCCTTGGGAACACTGAGAGAAATTCTAACTGGCATTTGATGTGGTTTTTGATAAATACGGTTTTGATTAAAATAGGGAAGGCTATTAAATGGAATGGCACCCAAGTGCGAAAATGCAATTAATATGTGGAATAAAGAGCAGTAGTCCAATATGATGGAGCAAAAAGGAGTGATTGAGATCAAGGTTAGAAAGGTTGGTGAAGCTTGATTGGGAAGGATCTTGAATACATTGCCAATTTGAACTCTATCTAGAACCTAAATAGTAGAGAAGCATTGATAGTGTTTGAATGCAAAGTTGTCATGACTTTATTCTTTTTATACCTCAGACTAAGTACTTCTAAATTTTGCTCTAAAGATTTATATTTTTACCTTTCATTACTGCATTCTATTTTATGAAGCAACTTTCATGAATGTTTTCTTTTGGTTAAATTAAAACAAAAAATGCCCACTAGAGGGTACTCTCATCCCCAACAGTACCTCTGTAAAATCATCTGCCACGCTGGAAAGCTGTTTTCATTTGCATGCAGATTATTTTTTAAAATCTTTTCTTGCTGAGAAAAGAAACAACTTCGTAACTGTCCAATTCCCATTTTCATGAAAGGAGGCAATTTGTACAGAACTTTCAGTACCCAGTGTTGCAGTTGAACCCTTTATAATCTGCTGCGTGCATTTTACTTAAGGCCATCATTGTCTACTGAAAACAAGTAGAGAAATATGTCTAATGGGGAAAATGTTACAGATGATACTAGACTTAATTAACAAGCACCACAAAGTAATTAGACTAATTACCAAATAATTCACTGTCTCCTGCCTGTTATTTTAAGCCTTTTAGCAGTTTTATATAATATTTCATTGGATGTTTCTAATGCAGAAAATAACAGATTTGCAAAGAATATAATATGATGAAAGTAAAGATTTAACCCTTTTTTCTTGTGTTTCAGATCAAATGGGGAGCCTGTGGCCTTGTGCTGGCAGGCAATGCAGTCATTTTCCTTACAATTCAAGGTTTTTTCCTAGTATTTGGAAGAGGAGATGATTTTAGCTGGGAGCAGTGGTAGCACTATGTTCTGATGAAGTGCATTTAATTTCTTAAAATTCATACTATATGTATGTGTGTGCACATGTGGCCTTTTGCTATGAAATTCAATATGCTGGGGGGTTTTATACTTTTATATCATGTTCACTTTAAGGAGGACTGCATGAGAAAGAGATTTGTTTTACTACCAGCAAATAGACCACTCCACTTACTCAAGTTGAATTATGTTATTTAGCTGTTCATGTATCCATGGTGCTCTCAGAAAATACATTAACATGGTTTTGTAGCCAGCTGCTCGCGTATGCAATGCATCTACACCTTTTGCCTGGGGATGTGCTTGAATAGGAGCAGGTTTCAGTTCTGCTCAGGATTTCTAAGATACACTTGTGGCCCAGAGGGACAGGTGGCACACTCTTTGTGTGGTAGACCCTCTCTTCTCAAAGTGTGGTCCGTAGACCAAGAGCACTGGCATCTCCTAGGCACTTATTACAAATGCAGAACCTGAGGGCTCACCCCAGACCGTGTGCATTTTGATGAGATCCCAAGTGAATCGGATGAGAAGCACTGCCATAGAGGACTCAGCATCACATGCAGCTTCCTTTTCTTCCCTGCGCTGAACCCTTAACCTCCCTGGGTGTTACCTGCTCACTTGTGAAAATTGTTTCACCTGCCCCGTGCTGAGGCCCAGCCTAGTTTAGACTCTCTGGGGTACTTGTGAAATGCCCACACCTGTGATGCATAGGCCGTTCCTCACATTTATGAAGTGTTCTCAGTAGGAACAGCTAACTGCCTTTGTACTGTCTGAAAGGCAGTGGCTGTTTTCACCGTGCTGGGAACAGAATAACCCCAGAGCCTGGCTGGGCTGAGTGGAGGGAGGCCAGGAACCAGTCCCTGCTTTAGCAGGATGAGGAAGGATAGATAGGTCATTCTGTTTAGTTTCCCTCTGTAAGCGGACACTTCTGCCCACCCCTTCGCTGTGCCGCTCCCCCTCCCCAAGCGCACAGTCCAGCAGTTCCGATTTGCCCTTGCTTCCTCATGACCTGGTGCCTCCTTTCTATAGAGACATGGAACCAATAAGCAAGCAAGCAGAGGGTGAGCTGCTTAATTTTACTTACATATTGATGTACTTATTATCTTCTGTGTCATGTAGGACTTTTTATATATGTAATAACACTTTAGGCCACTTTTAAATGAATCATTAGGAATACATGTCATGCTGGATCCTATAATCACATTTTTTCTAGCTCGACTTTATGTTCAAGACCTTTTGAGAAAGGGAAATCGGGAATTAGAACCACTTGATCAGAATAGTATAAACCGTGATTTTAGAGTATTGTTAATGTCTGATAACTGACGAACATTCAAAACACTGACCCTTTAAGTTTGTAATCGGAGTAATTAGCATACCCCCTCATATTGGGGAATCATACTGGGACCAGGAGAAGATAAAAGTGATACCTAAAAGGACAGTATGCAAAGTTATATTTTGACCTTGTGCATGAGTTTATGTTTTCAGTGTTCTGTGTACATATAGACTTGTTGAAGTTACTATTTCCAATATTTATATTAGAATAATTATATATACACTTTATAATTTTAACCACCATTTTTAATAGCACTTGTACTTATTGTATTGTAATAAATTTCACTTTAAACACAAAAGTTTAATTTACAAGTTTTTTTTCTGATATAGAATTACTTAAAAGATAACAAAAAAGTGAGAATTTCTTGGTGTTCTGAATTGAGCAGCTTCAAGTGATAATCTGTCCTGCAATAAATAATAGCAATAAGATTTAAGATTCCATTTTGAATGTCTAGTTGGCTTATAATAGCTTTTCTTTTCCTAAGATGGAAATAGTGTTTAATTTATGCTACCTTTTGCAAGAATGTCTTTGTTGCTTAACACACATTTCAAATAACCCAGGTAGCCTTAATGTGTAGCATTAAAGCATTGCTCCTTGATTGTATTTTCAGAATGATATAAAGTACTCGCCTATAGAATATTTGTACCTGTTCCCTAATAATGTAATGGTTTGTCGAAGTAGTAGATTATTGGATTTGCTATATTTCTGAAAACAGACGTTTATTTTGGAGTGCCTATGTATCATTGAAGTAATAAATGTCAATGGTAAGTTTTGCTATATATGAATGTACAATACAACAACTTTACGACACAAACATTGGACATTTTTTCGCTTATAAATGGGTTTTTTTTTGTAGTTTTTTTTTTTTGTTTTTTTTTTGTATATACCATAGAATATATTTTGGAGATTCTAAGCACATTGATTACATTCTAAAACAGATTACACATCAAGAATTGTCTATAAATAAATAATCTTGTAAAAAGATTCTCCATCACATTCTGAACATCTGGCTTACAGGTATATTTTGGAACACTCTTCCCAAAGAAACAATACTGTGCATTGGTGATTGAGTTTCCAGGCCAACCCTTTGGTGTCAGACTAAACCCTAATGTAGCTGACCTTGGTACCTGCCTGAGATTTGGGTCTTGGAAATAAGGGAGTGTGAACAGTTTGGAGGGAGGAAAGTATAAATTTCCATCTCTTTTCCTAAGACAAGGTCTACCTTCAGTTTTTGCAACCCTTTCCACCCCCCTCATGCCGTTAGGTCCCAGGTACACCCCTGTGAGGTTTGCTGGCCATCTCTCTGGATCGGGGTCCTCCTAGCCTGCCCCACTTACTGGGGTTCTTCATATTCCAAAATCACCCCCCTTCCTACTACCAGTCAGTTTTCTTAGTACAGCTGATACCATGTGGTGACAAGAAGAAAATCTCTTCAAACGCCTTCCCAGGAAGAATGAATGACTTGGGATCATCTTCCCCACATCTAAAACATCAGTACCTTCATGGTACAACGCCACACAATGCTGCAGCTGCATTTTTACAAGGTCACACCTTGGAACCCAACGACTCACAGAAAATGGCAATGTTTCAAAGTCAAGTGGAAAAAGCATTCCAACAGTTGATAGAAGGATGATAATGTTTTGGAGACAAGGGCGCCCTGTCACATCTCATCCCTTCCTCAGGGTGAGTTCTCAGCCGGTCCTACTTTCTGTAGTTGTTTCTTTTCCCCCACTTAGGAACCCACAGATTATTTTTATTGATCTTAGAGATAGGAAGGAAGGGGGAGAGAGAGAAACATCGAAGTGAGAGAGAAACCGACCAGCTTCCTCCTGCACAGACCCTGACAGGGAATTGCACACCTACCTGGGTATGTTCCCTGACCAGGAATTGAGCCGCCACCCTTCAGTGCATGGGACGACACTCGAACCAACTGAGCCACACTGGCCAGGGCCCCTCAGTTTTTTCTTACCATCTCATCAGGATATTTTTACCTCTGAGGTATCTTCTTCATGAAGACTCTTCCAGAGTATAGATAAAATGCTTCATTACATGAATAACATTCCTTATGCTCTCAGGGGAATGCTTAGATGTCACAGAAATGTGCTTTTTCAAAGTTCACAAAATTTAGATTTTGCACCATAATTTAACCAAAATATTTATGAGGATGCTAGCATTTTCCAAGCATTGTAATTAGTTCACAACTGGGAAATACTATTTTGGTAGATGAATATAAGTTGTGTAATTAAATTTTCTTTTTGCCATTCTGCCTCATGAAGTACCTTATTTGCAAAATTTCCGGTATCTAATAGCTCCTGACTTACAGTCTGCGTTTAAGTGACAGGAGGAGAGCAGTGACACGTGTGACCCAGACGTGATGTGAAAGACCCCAAGACTGCTGCAGAATGCATTACATATGGATGATGAGGATGATTACTTTTTAAGTAAAACTTGTCATTTATACTTTAACAAAGACTTTTATGTACGTTTTTAAACTAAAATGTATTTTACTTTGGAATACATTGTATTTAGAAAGGAGACCAGCAGATTTACTTTCCTAGTGTTTTTGTTTGATAATCTTAATGTGAATTTGACTCATTTTGAGCCCCTATTTACTGTAGCTGAAGTGAAGCCGTTCCAGGAACGTGTGCTGACTGGAAGGAATCCAGCCCCAGTGACAGCTTTGCTGTGCCTAACACTCCCAGGGTAGAGGTGGATGTGGGGGGCTTGGTTAATCAAGAGTTTGCTGTATTGGAAAAGGGAAAAAACACTTAGAAATAGTTCTGTACATGCCTTGAAGAGTTTTTGCGCACTATAGAAAAGAAAGCACTGATGTAAAATACTAAAGAAATAACGTGTCCTTATGCACAAAATATTTGTGGAACAGCTGATGTCTTACAGGTGGATTTAGGCAGCTAGATTAGGAAGAAACTGAGTGAGATATTTTTTGTGTTGCCCAACTAAGTGTAAAGTTAAATTTTTTTTAAAAAAAATACATCTTTATTGATTTCAGAGAGAGGAAAGGAGAGGGAGAGAGATAGAAACATCAGTGATGAGAGAGTCATTGATCGAGCCCACAACCCGGGCATGTGCCCTGACCTGGAATCAAACCCTGATCGCCTGGGTCCTAGGTCGACACAACCGCTGAGCCACGCCTGGCCGGGCTAAAGTTAAATTTTGATAGAAATTTGATAATACCAAGTAAAGAAAATGCCCATAAGAAAAAAGAGTTCCAAAAGAAACATCTCTTGTCCAAGGGCTTGTACATATGCATTTTCATTTAGAAAACCTGCTGGATGCACCGAGATACTTCATCTGGGGCCGAGAGTGAGTGTGTCTGGAGAAAGCATGTACCTACCTGCTATTTAAAAAACATTCCCATTTATCTGTCCAGTTTCATCCTCTTTGGTTTTGCAGAAGTAGAAAACAAATGTCTTTTTTAAAAAACTGAAGTTGGTGAGGAATTCACATTTCAAACCTTTCCCCATATTTTTAAAAAGTAGGAAATAAATTTCAATTCCTTTAAATTTCCCTGTGGTCACCAGGCACAGAGCAAAATTATCGATGACCATTTGAAACAGTTACTCATTTTTAATATTGGGCATATAGGCAAAGCTGTTAAGGAAATTTTATAAATTCCTTTGTCCCAAACTCATGTCTAAAGCCGGATTATTAGAACGGGCTGTTTTCCCTTGTTATCCCAAAGATACTCATCCCGACAGTTGGGGAACACGATTGTTATCTTTGAGGGTATAGTTTCTTGATCACATTTGGATTTACCTGGGCTTTTCAAACGAATTGTAATGGGATTTGTTATTGCTGCTGCTTATTTTAAATTCCTCTTTGGTGACTGAAGAAAACTATGTCTCAGTTTTCCTTTTTGCTTCTCTTTACAATTTAAGATTAAAGAATCAGAGTCTATTATTTTCATGCCCAGCACTAAAGTAATTTCTTTTTTTATGCATTCTGTGTCAGCCTTCACTCTTCTCCCTGCCTTTGTTTTCTCCAGCCTCCTTCTACTTTGTCTCCCTTAACCTTTGCTTGTCTTTAAAAATAGGAACTACATGTGATCTGCTTTCTCTTGTCTTTGGAAAAAAAGTTATCTGCAAATGTTTTAAGCTCTTGAAAAAAAATAAAAACGTTCATCTTGTAGGCTGCAGAAAAGGCACCAGGTGTTAGACCCATGGGGTCAGATCAGACCTGGGTTCAGCAACCTCGGTATTTGAGTTCTGGCTAGGGAAGAGTTCAGAGCCAAGAGAGCATAATTCAAACTCTAAGAGAACATTTATTTATAAAAACCACAAAGGTGGAAGAAGTAATTTGAAGAAATGGGCTTAGGAAACTAGTTACAGCGGTAAAGGAAGGGACCCTGGAGCTTGGGAGTGAGGGCGGTAATGGTAAGGCACCTGGGAGGGGCGGGGGCGCAGGTGGGAGGGTGAGCACTCTGGGTCCTCCTCCTAAGGGTTTTAAGGTGGAGATTTTAGGGGAGGGCCCAGGGGAAGATCTCAATTGAATATTCAGCAGGTTTCCAGGTGTGCCCTTTCAGGGTTGTGGTCTCCACTGATTGGTTGGTGCCAGGGCAGAGAGGTCATTATTCAATGCATCTGGTCTTTTCTGGGCCTAGTGCTGAAAGACAACTGAGGCCTAGGTGTCCTCTCTGGGGTGGAAAGGTCAGGGGGTCCAAGCCGCCTAACCAGTGATACACTGGGGCAGGAAAGGCCACCTTGGGGGTGTGGTCCCACCCTACAATTGTCCTTTGCTAGGCACCCAGGGCTCTCCGCCCTGGTGACCTTCTATACCTAGCCCATTGTCCTTGCTCTGCTCAAGTCTGTTTAACTGCCTACCACAAACTGAAGCAAAATGGGGGGAAAAGATAAACCTTTGCCCTGCCAGGCGTGGCTCAGCAGTTGAGCGTCGACCTGGGATCCAGGAGATCGGGTGTTCGATTCCCGGTCAGGGCACATGCCCGGGTTGCGGGCTCAGTCAATGACTCTCTCATCATTGATGTTTCTATCTCTCCCCTTCCTTTCCTCTCTCTGAAACCAATAAAGATGTTTTTTAAAAAAAGAAATCTCTTACTTAAAATTTGTTATATGCCTGGGGCCTGACCTGCCTAGTTAGGAATTTATGTTCAGACCACCCCATGAGGTTACTTTCCATAGAACCCTTTTTTCCATTCACATGTTAGTCTCTAGTCCAGACTGCTCTAAACCCCAGAGTTGTATATCCCGCTGCCAGGGTAAACCCAGCGCTTGGATGCCTAATAGGCAGCGCAGACTTGGCTTGTCTGAAATCAAACTCCCGACACTCCCTATCATTCCATTCCTCAGGACAAAGAGCGCTTCAGAACGTCTCATTATGGCACATCCCACGTGCAAGCCATCAGGAAATCTTTGCCCTTCTACCTTCAAAATGTGTCTAGAATCAAAACACTTCTCCTAGCCTCACTGCTACTATTGGCTCAGGACACAGTGTGTCTCGCCTGGGTTACTGCACTAGCCTCCCAGCTGCTCCCCCAGCCTTGACCGGTTCCCCCGCAGACTGGTCTCAGTGCAGCAGTCAGAGAGCCTGTAAAAGGTAAGTCAGGTCATGTCACTCTGTGCCAATGGCTTCCCGTTTCATTTCAACAATAAGGCAAGCAACCCAGTTTTTGTTTTTAATGGATAAAGGGTCTGAATAGGCATATTTCCAAAGATGTACGAGTGGCCAATGAGCACATGAAAAGATCCTCAACGTGTTTGGACATCATGGAAATGCAAATCAAAACCACTGAGATGCCACTCCACAGCCACCGGGGCGGCCAGAACAGGAAAGACG